ATAGGTTTATATGGCGAAGATGGACGGTGCGGCTCTTTTTTTGCCCATAACTGAGAAAAAAATGTAGAAATTGTGAAACAAAACTTTTCCATAGATAATACTGTGTACTATCTATGGAAAAGTTTTGTTTCACAATTTCTACATTTTTTTCTCAGTTATGGGCAAAAAAAGAGCCGCACCGTCCATCTTCGCCATATAAACCTATGTTAAAATGAACAACTTTCAACAACAATATCTCAAAATCTAGATTCAAAAAAAATTTTAAAAAAATATGACGCACAGAGAGAGCACTGGCTAATACGCTATATAAATTTCAAGTACATTTGTGCATTTGAGTAAACCCGATATACCTCCTTAAGAAAATTTCAAAAAGTTTATCGCGTACCGTGGGTTTAAGTTAAGGTTTAGAAAGGGCACACAATTTTTTTGAGATACTTGTTGTTATAAGAAACAATGATCAATACTAAAAATACCTATTTTGACACTTTTATGACCATTTAGAATTTTTTTTAATTGTTCAACGTTTTACTCTATGAACAATTATTTATTGTCCAGAGAATTTTCTATGCAATCGACAAAATCTTGCACACATAAAAACTACGTCGTAACCCCTTGCTTTTTAGCCAAAATAGAACAGCGTTCTACTATGTAGATTCTGAGATACAGAAGCGTAAAGTTAATAATTTATAGCTTACGTAATCGTGAAGTCGAGAAAAAAAAATGTTTTTATAGCTAACTACAAGTACTTTCGATATCGACTCGAAAACTTTCCTATGTAAGATGGCAACATTTTAATACTGTCGGATCGACAAAGAAACGATCTTTCAGAATCAAGAAAAAAAATAGGGGGTTGCTATTTAAAAAAAAAAAATGTCGATGACGTCATTACTCGAAAACAAATGACGGTTGAAAATCGCCTTTTATGCTGAAATATGTGTTTTTTTAAATTAAAAATCAACCGGTTCGAGAATTTCTCCCAAAAAAAATTGTTTCGATTTTACTGAATTTATTCCATACTTTAGGCGCGTACTGTATTTGAGATACCGGAAAAAATCGATAATGTCATTTCATCAATATGGGGTATTTTTTTCTTAAAAATATAGACTTTGAACTTCAAAATCCTTTTTTTATAAATTCTCTGGCCATTATTTATAAAAAAAAATACGAATTTAAAAGAAGTAAGTAATTCTAATCTATTTTTCAGATTATGGGGCACTCAGATGAATACACGAATTCTTTTAGGAATGTTTCCGAAGAGGGAGAAATATTGGAGCGACAAATTCTTGCTTTTAATAAAAGATTTTTAGAAGTGTACATTGTTGTCTCACTCATCTGTCTCATCGCCAATTTACTTATAATTTTTGTTACTTTAAAGTATAAGCGATTACGTCATGAAAAATTGAACATAATTATTCTCAACTGGGCCATAATTAACTGCCCCTTTGTCCTAAGTGTCCCTATAACGTTTGGTTTAGCTGTTTATTTAACGCATTTGACAGAACGGAGTACGTTTTGTTTTGTAAATCACATGGAATATACTCTGTTTTTGATGGACATCATATTAATTGTAATTCTAACCCTTTATTGGTACACGAAATTGTATCACACGGAAAAACACAAAAAGTTCGACCAACACATCAAATGCGTTTTAATATTTCTATACATTTTTTTAATATCACTCACGGCTCTGAATATAGATGCTTGTTACAATTCGCGGATGTTTACAGTCATAGGACTGGTTTTGGTCTTAACCTATTTGGCTTTTATGCTATTTATGCCCATCATAAACATCGTGCATGCTGTAAAAAAACGAAGACTTGTAGATTACAGCAACAGAAAAAACGTCCCGTTTATGTTATCCAACATATTGTTCTTGTCTCACTTGCCAGCTTTATTGGCCGTATTCAATGTACCGCTCTTCGGCCTTCCTACGATTCTGATACTTAGGAGTATAGCTTTTTGCATTGGAACTTTAAACCCGGTTTACTTTTTGGTTGTTTTGTACCTCTGCGACAGGAATTACAACACATTTTTGAAGCACGTGTTTAGTTGTAGATGCAGGGAGTACAATGACGAACTTGTAGAACCACCTGTCAGTTATAATAATGGAATTGAGAATATATGATGACCGAATGCAAATAATTGTTTTATTTTCCATATCCTGATGTTTTTATTTTTTTCCTTACATAGGGACGGGTATACAGAATAATAAGTTGGCAAATCGCAAATAAGCGGTAAAATTACGTGGGTTTTACTTTTTACTGCTCACGATGGAAATCTAGACGACCTATCGGAATATTAGTTATTTTGTGTATTCAAAAATATTTTCAAATGTTTGCGCTGGTTTGAATTTAAAATCGTGAGACTTATGTTTTTTTAATCTCCATTTGGTGTAGCCCAGTCATTATAGACATGAAAGAGCCTGTTTCGGGAAAAAAATACTATTAGAAGTTTATCTGCGGAATATTGTTCGGAAACCTGTTATAAATAAAATATCAAAAAATCAACTCGGAGCTAGTTGGGAAACTTTGTTTTAACAGTGGTCAAAGTTATGGAAAAGTGGTTTTTTGACTCACTGATGGTTTCAGTTTCCAATCCATTTTACCTTATCGCTGTACTCTACCACTGATAAAAATTATAATACTTATTTCAAGCAAGTATTAAGGTGTAGATGTAGAGAATGTAATAATGAGCATCTAGAACAACCTGTCATTTATACCAATGAAGTAGATAATACATGTTGAGTGTTGTTAATGTTTTTTTATTACTCACTTCCTGTTTTTAAATTCCTTTTAAGAACGCGATTCCTCTTATATGCAGAAAAGTAACAATTTCTATTTACTAATTGGCCTGTTTCAGCGATTTTTTTAAATTTCAACTGGAAAAAAAATATGAAATTTGTTCCATCATTTGGGGACACAGTGTATATGTAGATATCAGCTTATATTTTTCTCATATCCTGAGGACTCTAGGTTGTTATAGATTTCTTGTAGAATATGTACAAAGTGTTCAGGATGCATATAAAATTTGTAGTATAACAACCCCGGGTTCGATCGAAAAAAATAAACGTAGTTGTGGCCAGAAATATGTGATCGTCATAAGAAATACCTACGATGTGTGTATCTATTTTTAATTGACCGGAAGGCGCTGGCTACTAACTTTAAAGAGGGGAAGTATGGTTTAATTTTATAAAACAAAAGCAGAGTAAATGCAACTAACTTTATTATTTACGTACAACAGTCTTCAAATTAAACATGTGACAATTAGAAAGAACAACAAAAACATTAACAACCATTTAACATAAAATGAGAGTGCCAGGCTCACCTAGAGCTCCTGTGGGGAAAGAGCATGGCAGAGAAACCCACGATCGTTGCTCTAACTACCCAAATATAAATACAAAACAACCGCTAACAAAAGGCATAAATTAGGATCCTTTGCTAATGATAAATAACACCCGACTTATTTAATTTCTCACTAAATGTCACCTCACTCGAATTAGACATACACACTTCCAAGTAAAACTGAAGAGGTTTGGTGTTAGTTAGCCGGCAGGGCCGGAAGGTACTGGAGTCCCATACGGGAGGCAATCCAGCTATAGTTGAGATTTCGGAAGATCCTTCATAACACTGGAGTCCCATACGGGAGGCAATCGAGCTTAATCCAGATTCGTTCCGCACGGGCGAAAATGTTAGTAAACTCAACAAGGCTCGTATAGACGTATGACATAAAGTGAGCACAAGAAATCAAAGAACAACCTAATCATGATAAAACAAGTTAAATGTGAAACAAAGAAGTTGTTATTGCAATATCTGGGCAGTCACGACAATATATACATATTTTAACATGTAATAAATAATGAGCAATCTTTAATAATAATTGTAACAATTTTATCTTAGAAAAATATACGCCCCTGAGCGTAAGACAATGAAGGCTAAACATACACAGAATTTTTATCATGAAACGTCTATAATCATCACAATCATAAGATTACATAGAACAATTAACAACAAAGTACTTAGAGAATAATTACTTGCTAACTAATACCCCGCCACACTGTCCTCCGATCGTCTTGCTACCCATCTTCACACTGTTCCCACTTCAACTGTTTAGGCTTCCTTTCAGACTTCCCCACATAAGCGTTTGTTTTTGTGCTTCCTTCTACCAACTGTCAATATTATGTTTTCATTATTGCGCAACACCCATGTAACATGTGACGTCGAAGATGATACGATAAGTATTGTCATAAAAATTGAAAGATAAAAGAATCCCAAATTTTCAGGTGATTTTCAAAAGACTATAACTTCGCGAAAAAAACATTTTCAATTTCAAAAAATGTATAAAGGCTGCAAAATTAATCCAGTAATTGATTTTTATCAAAAGTTACTATACCAATCATTCGGATCACAATGAAAGAAAAATTTCAGCGGTTTGAACTCTTGAGGGTTTTTTATGATATACTTTGATATATACTACTAGTCTGTGCATTATCTGTAAAGTTATCTCAAGTTCAAAGGAAATTGTTAAATACTCAATTTTGTACTTTTTCTTGCATCGAAAAAAAAATATTTTTTTTTAAAGAAACCAAAATAACTTGTTATAGAGGATACTTTGAGGTTTCCAAAATCCTGCTTAGATTTACTGTATGATCACTAGTTCTCCAGTAATTAATTATGAAAGCCAAAAAGGTCATTTTTGTTTTGAACAGTCTTTTGAAAATCACCTAAAAATTGTTGTGACTAGTATAGAATGCGATAAAAAATATATATTTTACTTTTCCTGTATCTTCAAAAACAACATCATCATTTTCTTGTGACGACCCTGTACATATTGAGCATTTTAAAAATATTTTTATTCTCACGGCGCGCGTGGATGTCTGGATTTGTAATAAATCTGCTACTCCTCGAAAAAGTATTACGGTTACATGTCAGTGAAATTCTGTGTGTTACCAATTTCGCTGGAAACAGGAAAGACCTATTTAGCGAACGAGTGTAATTCTCGAACTGCAAATTTTTTGTAACGTAAAATTGCAGTAATGTAGAAAGAGGATTGCGTATTAGTTATAATAGGTTTTGTGGTCAGTCAGTCAGCTTAGTTTGTGCGTGCCACGTATGTTTTGATAATTCTGTTTTTAAACTGAACGTCTGGGACTCGAAGAACAAGGTAAAAATTACACATCTTTATGTTGTCAGTCAAAATCATTTTCATTTATTACGTACATATTTCATCAAAATTGCTTAAATTAAAAACAAATACTTTATATTTCTGTTTTTCTATGTCGCATTTATTCCCATTGATTTCTGTTTATATAAATCGATAACCAGGCTTAGATAACTTTGGACATCTGCATCAATTTATTTGACCCTGAAATACAGGATGGCCAAATGAAAACGAAACAGAGCCGTTTTCAGGAACTGCGTCAAGATTGTAGAAAAACGCTCAGACCCGTCGATTTTAGATTAAAGGGGGACATTCTTTGCTGGTATTTTTGACTCCGCCACTTTCACCCCCAAGCAAGGGTAAGCATCACCCCAAAATATTTAAATGGCATTGGGGGTTGAGTAATATTTCTTTTGAAAGCTCTTACAATTCTCTTTACAACAGACTTTAAATTTTATAATTCCGCCCAATACTTTGAAAAAAATTTACATTTTAAAATTTAAATTATGTTTAGTTGCTTACTTACTACTTAGTTGATTAAATGTTCAAACTGATGACCGCCCGCTTCCATACAAGAATAAAGATTTTGTTCGAAACGTTCGCGCACATTCCGAAGCATTTCCGGAGTGATTCGACGGCATTCGTCGACGATTCTTTGACGCAAATCTTCCAGCGACGCTGGCTGTGTTTTATAGATTTTACTTTTTAGGTATCCCCACAAAAAGAAATCAAGGGGCGATAAATCCGGTGATCGTGGAGGCCACTCAATGCTGCCTCTTCTCCCAATCCAATTCCGTAGAAAACGTTGGTCCAAATACTGACGGACAATTAACGCATAATGCGGAGGAGCACCGTCCTGTTGAAAAATCAAATGATCTTCATCATACTCTGGAACATTTTCAATAATATCAGTCAAGGCAGGGTCAATAGCGTCTTCCAGTAATTGCAAATACATTTGGCCAGTCAAATTACCAGGTAGAAAAAAAGGACCCACCAGCCGGTCACCGAAAATTCCAGCCCATACATTTAATTTTTCCGGTTGCTGTGTATGCACCTCGTGAAAAACTCTTGGGTTTGAATCGGACCAATAGCGGCAATTGTGACGATTTACCGTCCCGTTCAAGAAAAAACTGCATTCATCAGAAAAACAGATGTTAAAAAGGAACTGTGGATCGTTCCCTGCTCGCTCACTCATTATTTCGCAAAATTGCAAACGGCGGTCATAATCATCCTCATGAAGTTCCTGGACTAAATGTATTTTGTATGGATGGAATTTATTCTTCTTCAAAATGGTTTGTATGCTAGTTCGATTGATCCCAGACACAGATGCCAGCTGCCTCGTACTTAATGTAGGATCAAGATGAACTTGTCCCAAAACTGCAACTTCACTAGCTTCATTAACTATAGGTTTTTCAATTTCTCGTTTTTTATTGGCTACGTTCCCTGTCTCTTGAAATTTTTTTACTAACTCTAGAACATACTTCCTCCTGACATGTCGATCTTGATGTTGTTCATTAAATAGCTGAGCTGTTCTATTCGCACATTTATTGTTCATAAAGTAAAGCGAAATGATATCTACCCTTTCCGCAATGGAATAAACCATAGTGTTTAATTTTCAAAAACACAATTAAATAAACTACCAACCAACGCTTCCAAATAATACTAGAAAATAATTTGGAATCCACTAATTTTACGTTCATTGTGTGTGTATAGCATTCATTTCTGTTTTTTACAATTGTGTTTTTTTTTTACGAAAGTGATCGCCAAAAACCAATGTACCGCAAGAAATACTAAATTTATACCATCGGCGTACCTACTTAACTCGAATGACTGACATTTTTACCGTTACTAATTGTTTGTACATAAGTTTCAACTTTAAAATAAAAATTCTTAATAAGTATTGGGCGGAATTATAAAATTTAAAGTCTGTTGTAAAGAGAATTGTAAGAGCTTTCAAAAGAAATATTACTCAACCCTCTATGCCATTTAAATATTTTGGGGTGATGCTTACCCTTGCTTGGGGGTGAAAGTGGCGGAGTCAAAAGTACCAGCAAAGAAGTCCCCCTTTAATCTAAAATCGACGGATCTGGGCGTTTTTCTAGAATCTTGACGCAGTTCCTGAAAATGGCTGTTTCGTTTTCATTTGGCTACCCTGTATCTATTAAGTTTACGTTAATCTATTTTCAAAACAATTATGTTTAATTATGTTGAATATTATGAGAAATATACAGTAACAAAAATTAAAACTCATAGGACCGATCTAAGTGTGTTTACTTTATCTTTCTGTTTATTTATTAAGACCGAGCTTGATCCATGCCTTTCTCAAAGAGGTATATTGATGATAACTGTAGAAATATGTATCATAAGCCTATCTAAAATGCACTTCTTCAATAAACGCTGACAAGGAGAAGGTAAGGTAGTCGGATTTTTGTAATTTTTGATATTTATGGTACGTGTAGTTTGGACTTTGAATAAGAATTTTCCGAAGTAGTTCGACGCAACGTTCATAAATTACCGAGATAATCGATTTTGAAGTTTTACCTGACAGCTAAATCCACTAGATGTGACGCATTCTTGAACTTGGAGCGTGGCGTAATTGGTAGCGTTCGGTACTAACAGTCACGAGATCGTCACGTTACATTTTTTTTTTCAAAACGCACCATATAGTCTTTTATTATTTTTTTCATCTCGAAAATTATGAACAAACGAATTATTATAATAAACACTTATGTATATGTATTTTTAGTATTTGAAATTTTACGCAGTGTGGCATAAGCCAGAATGATAGTTATCATAGAAACATGGGAAGCAGAAACTTTCTATGCCCGAGCAGGTGTGTTTTTTTAATCACGACCCACACAACCTAGCTCAAAATGTTAATTAAACACTTGAAAAATATTCCTACATACAGTTATCATAATATTTCGTTTGTTCATAATTTTCGAGATCAGAAAAAAAAAAAA